AGATTGGGAATTTATAAAATGTTTACTTACTTTATATTTATCATTATACTTATAATGAATGGAGAATTATAGTCCTTGTCCTACCCGTTCGGCTAACGACCCTCCACCAGTCAAGGAAGCGGTGGGTGAGAGTGGACACCCATTAAACTTCCATTTTATAGGCAATAACCTTATACCCCCCTTATAGACCGACTTCGTGAATGAGGCCTACTAACGGTAAGACTGACTTTGTTCTTATACATATATATATTATTAACTTATAATACTATAAAGTATAAGGGTTGAATTTTAACTTTTAAAACTCTAGGGTTTGGAATTAAAGTGTGTGTGAGACTTTACAAATTCCAAAACTTGAGGCCAAGTTTTGAACTATTCAAAACTTTTGGATTTTCATAACTTATGAGTTTAATTAAGGTTTTAAAAACTTTAATGAAGAGACTCTTGAACATCCATAACTTGCGGAAGAGTTATGGAGTTCATAAGACAAAAAGACTCTTCAATTGTGTAACCTATGAATTTTAATGGATCTTTAAAAGAAATGACTTTTGATAATCCACAACTTGAGGACAAATTATGGACTCCATTAAAATACATTTAGATTAAGAATTAACTAACAAACAATTTTGCAAATAATTCATATGATCTACCAAAACTCATAAGTGTATGAACAATCATATCAACAATTTCAAGAATTACATAAACACACATAAAACTTGAAATTTTGATAACAACTTTGAAATTGGTTTACCATAATCATTACCAGATCAAAAACATGATTTATAAGTCCAAAATAGTTTAAGGTAATGATTCTAGACCAATTCCAGCCTTAAAACTCGAAGATATGTTGTCAGGATGTCCAACTCGTCGAGTGCATGATACAACTCGACGAGTTAGATGAATTTAGGCATGGACTCGGCGAGTCAGCTGTTCAGACAGCATATAAACTTCGATTTTCAGCAATTTGCATCAAGTATAAAAGAAAACAAGCCTAGGCTCTGATACCACTGATGGGTTTTTGAGCATTCTAACACTCCTATGGTGTACATGCAACCCTAAAAACCTTGGATCTATGTTTTCTCTATTATACATGCAAATATTCAATACTCCAAGGTTTCATCCTAACTAGCATAATGTGAAGCAACTATACTACAAAAGCCTAGTTAGATAACATACCTTTTAATGAAGCTTGAAGTCTTAAATTTTAAGAGCTTAGTCCCAATAGTGTGGAAGCCTCAAGTGGAATCACAAATCACCAAAACCACCTTGGAAACTTGAGAGAATAAAATGCACACTAGAAATCGGACCACTCTTGTATCCTCACACACTAGTGTCATTTCATGTGCCAAATACCTCTTTATATAGTATGGAGGATTAGGGTTTCATCCATGTAAACCCTAATACCCATGACTTTTCATTTCCATAGGATCCATGGATTAAAAACACCATGGACTATCCATGCAAGCTTAGCCCAACCTAAATGAACTTGGCCCATACTATATATAAGAGTTCATGTTTAATTAGTTCCTTTTGATCACTAAATAAATTCTAAATTAATTCTTGATCAGTACTAATTAAATAATATGATTCCATATTAATATATTAGAACTTATAATATATTAATATAAATCATAAACACACTATTCTCAAAAGACTATCCATATAAATTGTTCCGGTGAAGTGCAACCCAAATGGACCATGCCAAATCAGGTCAAGTACATACCAATCATAGTTATGGACTTAGACACTAATCCAACACAAAGGTGTGTTAAGGGACGGGCTATATAACTGATACCCTCTTAAATCCAAACCCTAACCCTAGAACCGGATGTCAGCTGCCACTCTCCCACCCTTATGCTTCCCATCGCCGGTGCCGCCGCCATGTCGTTTTCCGACCAGCGCGCGGCCATAAGCGACCACCCGACTTTCTTCTTTCCTTCCTCGTTTTCTGCTGTTGCGTTGCCACCAGACCGCCGCCTCCGCTTCTCGTTGTTTCACGCTCGTGTGTAACCGGAGGATAGCCGAGGGCTGTGGGAGACGTTGGGTTCGTTGTGAGTGAGTCGTGAGCCACCGTGTAGGAGTGGCTGAGTTCGTAGTTCGCTTGCCGGGTGTGTATGCTGCCGTAGTTCTGCCGCTAGCGCCGGCTGTTGACGCCGTTGCTGCTGCCTTGTTTCCCATCATGATGTCTTCACCCATTGTGCACTCTAGCGGCTGTTCCGCTAGTTTCCGTCTCCGCCATGCGACTGTACTGCCAATGACGCTGCTGCCCGTTCTCATGTGCTACGTTCCAACCACAAGTCGCCGTCTGCTGCCATCCTACGCCGCCACCAGCCACCATGGAAGGTGGTTGTGTGCGTGTTTCACTACGTATGTAGGTGTGTATGGTTGTATCTTTTCCAGTAGTATGTATGTTTGGGTGTTTTGTTTAGCCGGGGTTCACGGAAAAGCCGCCGCCACCACTTATCACCACCGGCCACCATAAGCGTGGTTGCGTGTGTGAGTTTATTTTAGTGTAGTGTGTGTGTTTATTTTGGGAGTTCATTGTAAAAATTTTAAAAGCCAAAAGAATAATGAAAGAAACTCAAAACCACCACCGTGAGGTGGTGGCTGCCGCCACCGGCCGCCGTGTCGGGTGGCGGTGTGCCTCATTTGTGTTGTGATTCGTTTGGGATGTTTGGACAAGGGACTGAAACCCTAATGGGCCCAATGAAACCCTAATTGACCTAAGGAAACCTTAATGGGCCTAAAGATTTAGTTTTGGGCCTATTGGGCTATGATTGGGTGGGAAACCCTAATTAGGGTTTAGAAAACCCTAATATTGGATTTATGGGCCTTGGACTTATTGAGACCCACAATTGGGCCATTGGAATGAAATTGTGTATTAAGCCCAATCACACCATATGATTTATTTAGAAGAGTGATGGACTTAATGGATTAAGTCCTTAATGGTTTAAGTGAGAAACACTTAACCCTAATTGTCATTTTATGTGAAACCCTAATTTCACTTGGACTTTGAGTTGGGCCTTCCTATTGGGCCTTGGTGATTGGGATAATAATGGACCATCCAAGAGCAAGCAAATGAACTAGAAAATTTAGATGGGCTTTAGGGTAAGGCCCATATGTGAGGGTGTGGGCCCAATTTGGAAAATTGGGCCATAGATGGGACATAGTTTGGGCCTTAATGATTATATGATATTGGGCCATTAGAATCTCAACTGTTGGACTGGACTAAATGGTTGGGCCTTTGATTAAGACCATGTAAAGGTTTGGGCCCAACTTGGGAAAATTGGGCCCTAGTTGGGCCTTGGTTCATTATTAGACTTTTGGGCCTTTACTTTGGGCCTTGGGCTTGAATCAACCTAAGATAGGGGTAAAGCTGTCTTTTACCCCAAGCTTGGACTTATGGATATGTATTGGGACCCAATTATTAATTGGGTGATATTTTAATGTTGATAGATCGGGAATCTGTCATCCAGCAGCTATGGTTTCATCAGCAGTACTTCAGCAGTGTGAGGTGAGTTTTCCTTCAGTAGGAACAGGTCTAAGGCACCAATGTCGGCCCGTCTAAGTAGTTATAGTATGTCGGGGTTAGCCCGATGCAGTTTATATGTTCCGGGCTTCGGTTCGATTCCGGGGCGGTCCCGAGAAGCAGTTATATAGGCGTGATGTCTTTGTGATTCATGCATGTTATATCTTATGTGTATTGTGTTCCGGGGCAAGCCCGATGTCGGGGCAAACCCGATATATGTTAGTTTATATGTTATGTGCTATGTGTTCCGGGGAAAGCCCGATGTATGTTAGTTTATATGTTATGTGTTATGTGTGTCGGGGTAAGCTCGATGTCGGGATAAGCCCGATGTATGCTAGTTTGTATGTTATATGTCATATATTCCGGGCTTCGGTCCGATGACGGGGCAAGCCCGATGCAGGTTATATGATTATGTTATGTGCTTATGATGTATGTTATGCTGTGTATGTGTCGGGGTAAGCCCGATGCCGGGGTGAGCCCGATGCCCGATGCGGTCGGATGTCGGGGTGAGCCCGATGCCGGACAGGAGTCTGATGCCGGTCACTACTACAAAAACAGCCTTTTACGACGCGCAATGCGTGTCATAAAACGCTCAGACGACGCGCAAATGCGTGTCAAGAAAGGCCTTGTCATAACGAGAGACGACACGCTTTTGCGCATCGTCTATAGACGACGCGCAGTTACGACACGCATTTACGACGCTCGCTTATGACACGCAATGCGTATCAAGGAAGGCCTTGTCATAAAGGAAGACGACACGCATTTGCGTGTCGTAACCTTACGACGCGTTTAGGACATGCATTGCGTATCATTATAGCCCCTGTCATAAATGAAGATGACACGCATTTGCATGTCATAAATTTCAGCAACCATTTACAATATGCATATACGACGTGCCTTTACGATACTCTTTTATACATAATACAAAAATATAGAAAAAAAATATATACCAAATCAATCAATTTCATCTAATAACATCATGTCAAAAAATTGTAATGCATTGATATTAAGGGGATCTGATTGTAAATTGTTATTAAGAGGTTTTCCCTAACTATATAACCTAATAATACATTGCTATAAAGGGGCACCTTTTTAGTGGCCATGGGCCCATTGCCCATGTATATTGGACTACATATTTGGTTTATGAAGCTATCCCACACACTAAGAAATTCATCAAGATCCTCTGTTGTTTTCTTAACTTCTCCACTCTTTCTGTTTTGGATCTCTTTTGCCATCTCTTTAACTGTATCTTGAAGAAACTTTGCATATTCTATTCTTGCATTTAGTTTTCTTTTCAATGCTTCCTACAATAAAATCAAACACCACACTAGTCCACAAAACTCAATAAAAATCCTCCATAAAGAGAAAAACTTTGAAGAGTTTTAGAAGACTAGGTTTAGGTAGTTGATTCAATTAAGATACCTGTTTTTCATCTTGTCCTGAAAAGTAGAAGGTAACATACTGGGGAATACTGTCAGAAACTGTAGACTTCATCAGCATTGTAAGTGTCAGTATGTTGAGCTGACAGCTTCACTTGAAGAAAATTAATAACCACACTGACAGAGGGGAAAGCTACACCCGTAAATACATCAACCTGACAAATAATTTCAATAGATAATTAAAAACCGAAAATATAATTACTGAATCATAAATCATTGACTCATAAAAATATGCTACCTTAGGGTGTACAAGTAGAACATTGGTAATGTCATGCCACTATGAAGATATACATGCTTGAAAGAGATACAAAGTGCTAGCCAATAATGCTGAGTGATAAAGAACCTCATTATTGCTTGGAGCATTAAGTTTCTGGATCACCAAAGTTAAATTTCAATGCCAAAATGTTGTGAGAAAATAAAATGTGAAGAGGGCAGAGTTAACCTGCTTAAAGTTGCTAAGAAAAACAATGATGAAAAATATCAAATCAAGAATACATTCTGATGAGCTCAAATCTTCAAACAGAACCTGCAGCAGGAAAAATCAGTTACTAGAATGTACAACATAAAGAAAATTGAACAAGAAGTAAGGGAAGGGAAGGGGCTGTCTCTTTTCTGACTTAATGGATTACAAATTTAATATATGGTTATTCCTTTTTTCCTATCTCTGTTTTTTTTGGATCACAACAGTTTAGAAACGAAACAGTACAAGACTTGAATGCTTACTTTTACTTGTAGCAATCAGCATATGAAGTATACTCAAGCGGACCAATATACCCTTCTTTCATAGGATTTGCTGCTGTCATGTCATCACTTTACCTTCTGTCAAATCCCAATCCCCATTAATATTATTATTGTATGATCACATCACAGGAGGAACCAATCCAGATGCTTTCACAACATCATACTGTGCACAACTCACCAAAAAACTGAAAAGCAAGCAAGACATGGAAGTATGCTCATAATTATAGATTTTTCATAATGTAGAAATGAATAAGATGAAACATTCTAAGTGATGTACGTCCCTGTAATGACATATGGTCAAACCATAACCAAAATAAAATAAAATAAAATACAATAGTGTCTTACGATCAGTTTGTCTCCCAGGTATTCTGTCTATAAGTGAATAATCAAGTGATTCATGTAGTAATGATCGAGTGCAAAACCATCTTAAGGCAATCTTGATGGGAGTTGTAAGGCAAGAAGTGAAGACATCAGCAGGAAACTCATGACTTTCTGGTAGGGTTTCATGTGCTTCACATGCTGCAAGTAGAATACAGTCTCTTGGTGAAGTTCCTGAAGAAGAACTTGAGGGAGTCCAATTATAGAGCTATATACATATAAATGATATTCAAGCATTTAGTCAAACAATAATAACAATGTTGTCAAGAAATAAATAGTTAATAATACCTATATGAAGGCATTGGGAATCATCCCTGCAGCAGAACAATCAAAAACATATATGGAAGGAGTCTTGAGCCATGAGTCAAGGTCGCTGATAGGCAATGGAATATACTGTGTATTACTCGACAACATTTGAGAAGAATAGAGGAAATTAGTCTAGGGAAACTATTGAATACAAGGCATGAAGATAGAAAGATAGTGCAAAATAAAAACATATAATTACCCTGTTAAAAAACCAAATTTCACCATTAGCAGTTGGTTTAGGTATACCATGATCATTATAATGGAAAAGAACCCTTTCAGATTTGGCATATTTGCGACATGTAGTATAGAGTTTCTTCACTTCTTCCACTATAGGATCTAACTGAATCTTGTATTTGGCCTTGGGTTGCCACCTTTCATACTGGAAACTCAATGTTTTTCTGATTGTTTCAAGAGCTTTTTGTGGGGCCATAGAAAATGGATCTGAAATCAAATACATTTAAATATAAACATCTGAAGCACTATATAACTAAAAACAAAACTGACAGCCTTGAAGAAGAAACAGATGTGTTAATATCAAGAAGAAGAATGTGAATGTCATAAACTCATAACTATACCTATCCAGCACTCCATTCTGGCACAAGGTGAAATCTTTATTACATCGGGTGGGTCCACGCTGATATTCAAACATAGAAAAAGAGCAACACATCCTGTTTTCATCTGCAATTATTAAAAAACATCATTTCAGAGCTAACTATAAAGAAATACACTACCAATAACCACCCAACACAACATAGCATTTGTTTTCAAATGCATAGCTGTGTTAGCAATGAATTATCACTGTTACAAGAACATCATGATGAGCTTTGTCTATCACAGCAACAACAATATGCTGCTGGGTTTAGCATATAGCAACAGCAGCGTCCATCAAATCTCTAAAGCGAACTACTTTGATAACCATGTGAACTCCAACTAATAAAACTAAATCACCCACTACAAGCTTTTTGCTTAATAATTGTTGGTGCATGTCACTCAGGCATGGCAAAAGACAACTTTATGTGACAAGCATACATGATAATAGGTCACCCTACTCATCTAATCGGTATTAGTGGGAAACTAATAGGTCAGACAGAAACAGGCATACATCTTGTC